AAAAAACATTTTATCCTACATCAGGTGAGGAACAAATTAGGATTTATAAAGACTTTAATTTCTCATGCGGACAAAAACTAAAGAGCATAATAACTTTCTGCTACTCGTAAGCCAGTAATTCAATTAATTCTATTGTTTATGCTAAGAGTATGTATTAATTGTTTAATATGATTTCTACATTTATTAAATGTTGAAATAAATATGCATTCATTTAATTATATGTGCAAATGAGCAGCATTTTAACTACTTTTCAATAATTACTGAAATTCATTCATTTATATTAAAGATTTCCTGAAAATAATATTATTATTTAACATTTTTCGAAAGCATGCTTGGATTTTCTTGCCCATTGATGATGAATGTTGAACTTCTGAACAATAAAGAGATTTTTGTGGGTGTTCTTTAGGTGGAGGTGATGCATTTGTACACATTGCGCTTGGATTTAGGATGAATTGCAATTTATAAGAGAGATGCCTTTTGAAAAATCTTTGTGCATACTGACTTTTTAAATCGTTCATAGGAATATTTCAGAAACGGTCATATGTTCACATTTAGGATCACTATACACACTCCATTATAAATGAGGCGCCAAGATCATATCAATCCATTAAATCACTGTATGTAAATGTATCCTCTTTTAAAAAGTATAGAGCTCTTTTACATAGAAGTGTAAAAGCAACATGAAGCAAAACTAACCTCTTTAAAATGTATTGATTATCTGTAGACACACTTTGTCCAAGATTTTTCATTGCTGCACTAGCTGAAATAGCAGTGTTGAGTTATAGACATTTTAGGATGTATCCTTAGTCCTGCCGGAAACAGCTTTTCACAATAGCAGTGAAACACGTGGCTTCAATCTTTGAGAACATTTCAAATACTCTCTTTGTTCACCTCACAGTATACACTAATACTCTACGATTTTATGTTGTGTTCTTTTTTTAATTGATTTCTTTGAGGTCTATGTGTGTATATAAATGTACAGTGTACATTGTATATATGTGTATTGTAAAGATTACGTCCTTGGAGACATTGTGTTTTGGTGTAATCTCAATTGTATGATTATGAAATGAGTAGTGAAAGCCATTCAGCATTACAGTATAGTGGAAAGCCTGATCAGTTTGTTTTATTTATGAATTTGGAATTACAGAGCTTTAAAAGACTTACAGCCTTAATTTTTAATTACACCCTGGTTATTTATTTCTGTTTAGTTGAACAATGACTTAAAAACTTGTCTAGAGCTGCCTTCATACTTTTTAGGCTTCATATCATAGTTTTGGTTTAATTAGTTAATATTTATTTATTTATTTGAAGGACTTTATTCAATATCCTAGTGTTTGCTGTGAAATTTCACTGGTATTGGTATCAACAACCCTAACTGGAACACTATGCCACTGTTTTCTGGCAACTTGTGTCCGTTGTCATTGTTAATCCTTGTGAAAAGGAGGTATGCTTAACTGTACTGAATGTACATTTGTATTGGTCTTTAAATCTTAAAATGAAAAACGTTGCTGATTTCTAGTATTACTCACTGATATCTAGTATTACTTAAAGAGAGACACTTTCATGACAATGTTTCTTAACACACTTAAGTAGTTAAGTGTATTGTAATAATGTCAAATTAAAAGTTTTATTTGAAGTACATTTTAAATAATTATTTTTTAATCTTTTGTCATGCTTCAAAAAACACATTATTTTGCAAATACTGTACATTATTGTAGGTCCTCTATGCCCCGCCTCTCTCAAACGCTTTGTTTTCTACAAAGTCCCTCCTTCCGACAAGCGCAGTCTGCTCTGATTGGCCAGCTGACCCAGTGCATTGTGATTGGCCGAACACCGCAAGCACTCGTCGGAAATGTAACGCCCCTTACCATAATCGCGAGCTTCATCTTTCAAAATAAATGTAAAGACAGAGCCCGAAAGGGGAACAGAGTCGCGTGACAGACACAGTGATGAAGCTGGTATGTGTTTGCAGTACACAAGCCACGGTTAAGACAGCTGACTCCACTGTGATGTGTCCCTGTCTCTCTCTCACACACACACGCGTGCGCACGCACGCACACACACACACACGCACGATGCGCAAAACTCCGCATTTGAACAGTCAATAGCAAATACTTAAACTAATAACAAAACAGTAGCTGATTCTGAAGCGCCAGATTGTCATAGCAAAGTCAGAATTACCTCCTCTCCTAGGTTCATGAAACGGTCGTCCATAAAATGCATTGCTGTTCTGTTGTAAGTGATCTTAAAGATTCCTAAATGCATCTACTTTGTGAAGGCCAAATAAAGTGCTTTTGCTTTTGCCTAGAAAACACACAGCGTCTCCCTGACATGCTGCTTCAACACTAACTGCGGTTACTGAAACCACGCCTTCTTTCTTTGCGTGCACATTTGGGCGGCATTACGCAAATATTTCCACATAGTGACGTAGATATGTGGGGGCGTGTTAGAACAAGCCGTTTTAGGGGGGCGTGGCAGAGTTTTAACTTTGATAAAGAATATCTCTTTGGTTTTGAGACTTTAGTCTTTGCAACTTCAGGGATCTTATCTATGCACAATCAGCTTGTAACACTCCAAAGAGAAAGGAAAACTTGAAATCGCATCATATGACCCCTTTAAAATATATTTTACTTTACCATAAATGCTTGTCAGTTCATTCAGCAGTACACTTTAACCATGTATCAAACACAATAGAAGTAATTATGAAATTACAAATAATAAGGGATAGTTCACCCAAAAATGAAAATTCTTTCACCATTTATGTTCCGCAAAAGAAGGAAATTCAGACAGGTTTGACATGGCATGAGAGTGAGTAAATGACAGAATTTTTATATTTGGGTGAACTATCCCTTTAAGTGGGTCAAAACAAACATTCTAATGTAGGGATGGGCGATATGGGCTTTAAAAAATATCACGATAATTTCTGGTATTTATTGCGATAACGATATCAATGACGATAAATCAGGAAATCTTATGCATCCACTAAGAGACAAAAAATTTAAATTAAAAAATCCAGTTTCTTTAGAGAAAAGTATTATCTTTCCTATTTTTACCCTGGTGTTGCGAGCATTACTGAGTACACATGTAATGTAATGACTATTTAATTCACACTGGAAGCTGGAGGGCAACCTTGCGTAGAAACTCCACATATGCATCATAGAAGTAATTCATAGCTTTTAGTCATGAGCCCGGAATATGAACGTAATGTGCTAAATGGTTCTGTGTTTTCTTTATAATGGTTTTCTATGGGAAACCATTTAATGTGTAACTTTGCGCATTGCGTTTATATTCTGGGTTCATCTGCTTGCCTGGACACAGTATGCATCAGCAGTAAGGTTCATACACATGCAAAACTGTGCTACTGAAGAACATTTATTCAAGGCTAAGTCCGATTTTTTGTCGCACTGTACAGCCCTGACCAAACCAGTTCCAGACTGTAGAAGGAGCTCCTTGTTTCGCGATATACTCCTCCTCAGTTTCACGTCCGCCTTCCGCCATGTTGCTCCGCACAGTCGCACACAGAAATATGTCAACAACTAGGCTTTATTGTTATTATCGCGGGAAGACTAATTCGTATCGTGGAGAGAATTTTTACCGGTATATCCCAAACGATAAGGTATCACCCATCCCTATTCTAAAGTTCAACTAATTACATTTAATATAAATTTTAACTATACATTTTCATTGAATTGTAAATAACATGCAATTAGGTGTCAAAAACATTACATTCAGTTTGCATGCAAGTATACTGTTTCCATAACAATTACTCTTTTTGAAAGTATGCTGAAGTGTACTTCTTTCGTGCAACAAACCGTTCACTGATATAGCAGAGCCTCAACTTTGTTTGAGTTTTACAAAGATAAATGGAGGTGGACTGTGTTTAGAATATTAAGGTCAGTGATTTTGTCTGGCCTGTCAAGCCGTTGAGTCCGAGGGCATAGGGCCAGACCTTCGCAGCTGCTCTTTCTGTAGTGCCTTTGACTGGGTGAACACCCATCCCCCTCGTCCCACAGGACCATCCTTCACCGTCCTTCACTGCTGATGCAGCCTGGGTGACTGAGTGCATTGTGTATCTGGCTGGGTGTAGGGCGCTCTTGTCACCATGTCAAGAGTCAGACATAAGTTCCGAGCTAGCTCAGCAAATCCTTGTAACCGAGTTTCATTTGTTTTACATCAAAAGGAAACAGAAGCAAGAAATACATCAGCATTTCCAAACAGATCAATGCGTAAAGAAACTGAACAAGGCATAACAAAGCCCTGAAGAATCCAGCTAAACCAGTCTGCTGACATTAGTTTCCTTTGAGGTGTACTTTCTGGGAGTTAGTAGGTTTGCTGTAATTATAGTTGACCCTTTGCAAAAACAACAAAACCTGTCAATTGTTTAAACAGCTTGACACACATACACACTCAGGCAGGTGAAAACAACATGATGTTTATGGGGTCTGGAAACTCTCTACACACCTGTTGCAGTGTCAATTTCCTACATATCTTATGTATTTATCTTACAAATACTGCTGTTCAAAAGTTTAGGGTTGGGAAGATTTTTTAATGTTTTTAATAAAAAGTCTTATACTCACCAAACTGCATTTATTTGATCAAAAATACGGTAATATGAAATTGTACAATTTACTATTTAAAAGAACGTTTTTCTACTTGATTGTTTTAAAATGTAACTTATTCCTGTGATGCAAAGCTGAATTTTCAGCCTTATTACTCCAGTCTTCAGTGTAACATGATCCTTCAGAAATCACTCTAATATGCTTATTTGCTGCTCAAAAAACAGTTGTACACTACAGATTGTTGCCCTGATTTTTTAAAAATCTGTTCAGATTTTAAAAGTCATGTAATGTTATCCAGGCTTAAATTTTTTTTTCAGCATTTATTTGGAATATAACTCTTTTGAAACATTATTTCTTGACTGTCACTTTTGAACAATTTAATGCATCCTTGCTCAATAAAAGTATATGAATTTTTTTTTTCTTTCCTCTTTTCATGTGAAGGTCTGGATGACAGTCTACAACAGTATGTGCACAACTTTGAGAGAGAGAAGATTAATGGAGAACAGCTACTGAAGATCTCCCATCAGGACCTTGAGGAACTGGGTATTGCCCGCATTGGTCACCAGGAACTGGTTTTAGAGGCCGTAGATCTCCTCTGTGCTCTGGTTAGTGTCATTATTTACATTTATTGTGGCTCTAAATGAATGACCTATTTATGACATATTTACTGTTGGAAATATATATTTAAGGACTACCAATTTAAGCTTTACTTACTAACCAGTTTTATATTAGGTTTCTTTTACTACTATGTATACTGTACATAAGCATTTGGTACCATGTCGTTTTTGTGTCCATACATACTGTTACATTGTTCTTAAACTTAAAAGACCTACATATAATTATATTGCAATGCTATTACACTACAGTGTTGATTTTAAACCTACATTTAGCCTTAAACCTACCCCTTCCTCTAAACTAAACAAATAAACTTTAATCAAGCTAAATTTGGCTCTCCAAGAGTTTTGTGTATGTTCACAATAAGTACATTTTTAATAAATGATTAAAAAAAGAAGAACAAAATGAATTTCTCCCCCATATACTATTCACTACCACTGGAGCAATTCAGGCCTGAAGTGCCAGCATGTTTTTGCCAGTCCACACTCAGCACAAGCCCTAGTAAAGCTACTATTACAGTCAACACATTTTGCCAAACCACACTTACTGAGCTCAGGGAGCACAGAATGAAGAGCTGCTCACACAGAAGGACACATTTTGCTTTAAACAACTGCAATGCGTAAGAATGGAACAGAAGGTGTCTCAGAAAATGTTTTTCAAAGTTGAAATTAATTTAAAATTGGCACATTTTTTATACGACTTTAGTCGATGTGTAACATGCTGACACTATTTTTCTATTTTATTCTATTAATTAATTAATTAATTAATTTCTTTATTTATTTTTTACTATATAGTTCTCGTTAGTTTTTATTTCAGTTTTAGTTGGTTTTTGTTTTAATCGTAGTTTTAGTTAAAGATGATAACGCTATTTGGTCAGAGAAACCAAATGATTTAAAGGAATAAATAATAGATCAGTTTCTACATTACTATTGTTATTGTACAACATACATTGCTTTGCTGGGACACCCAGCATAAGGAATGTATAGAACATTACAGCACTCTTTTCAACATCGCTTTGAGCAATATCCCACAGAGCCATTCAAAGAACTTCATTTATTATTGTGTGAATGCTGTATGCAGTCCTTCAATTAAAAATTTCTAAAGGCTTTTCCTGGCACACAAATATTGGTCAAACAGTATTAATTTCTTTCGTTGACCTGCTAATTTACAAATAGGTAGTTAGTCACTTGTTATTTGAACACATGTTTGAGAAAAACATGTAACGTGCACTAGCTTTCTGGAATAATAATGTTGTTTACTACACAGAACAGTATGTTTTTGAAAAAAGGAAACAATTACATGAGAGATGACTATGGCTCAGACAGACTTTGGTGTCTGTAGGGGGTAGAAAATACAAGGACCTGATATGAACACATGGACATGCTTAGAAGGTCTTGGCTACTTTGACAGATGGTCATGTCAATGCTTGTAAATGATACAGTACATCCCAGTGTCCATCACCGAATGCTATAATTGGGCCCAGACCCTTAGGATCAAAAGCAGGCAGTGTCCACAAATCCTCAGTTTTTACCTTCAGTGTGTAGCTTCATATTTAAAAATTGAGTTAAAATTGTTATTATGTGAGAAGTTCTGTAAAAGAACCTTTCAGTGAACCTTAGTATGAAGAACGTTTTAGTAACATTTAACATTAAACATTTAAAAATATTTTTTCCACTATAAAGAACCTTTTGTGCAATGGAAAGTTTCCATGAATGTTAAAGGTTCTTCATAGAACCATAGATACCAATAAAGAACCATTATTTTTCAAAGTAATTTTATAGGCACTATTCCAAATACTTGACCACAGAATGTCTGATTGATCAGTTGCAATCAAGTATTGCAGCCGTGGAATAATATAAAAGCATGAAATATTCAGATAAAATAATAAAGTAATATACACACAGAATCTAAGATGTAACGCATTATGTGAAATGCATCACAGTAAGGATTCTTGTAGATTTAATAATTTGGAATGAGATGATTTTTCCAGATCATCTCCCTAAACCTTATTCATCTGTAAATTACAGCAGCCTCTTCGATGGAAAAATTCTCCTATTGTCTCATATATCTGGAAATGATATTAAAGACACTCAGGCCAAGTACTGGAGACAGAAAGTGCTGCGTGTTAGTGTTACCAGCACTCCAGATCTCTCCCTGATGGGGTGTCCTAAAGTCTATTTCGTGCTGAATAGGAAGCAAATTCCTGCCCCAGTCTGTGAGAGTATCTATCGTGAACTTTGTCTATGCCCTGATGGAGGAAACCAATCTCTCATTTCCTACAAACCATGTCAGGTGTAGGTAACCTTACCATTCAATAAATAAAAAACCCCAAAGCACTTTGGGGAATTATAACATTGTCTTATTTCAGGATATATACCATTTTTGATCGTTTAGTTGTCTGGTATTGATATTAACTCATCACCAGTGTAACATGCTGATATTAATGTTGATTGGAGTACCTCTAGTCATGAGACGGAGCCATGTGCAAAAGGTTTATTAATGTACGTTAACAAGATAAACAATAAACATAGGTATGCAAGGTACAAGGCGCAAGAAGATAGCAGAACAAAACACTGACAAAAAAAAGGGAAACACAGGGGTATAAATACATGAGTTAACAAGGGGCTAACAAGGAGATTGTGGAACTAATTAATTACTATGGAAACTAATAGGGGTCGCTATGCTAACAAACACAGCAGATGAAGGGAACAAAGAGGCAAACCAGGAACTAAACACAGGAAGGGAACACAGAAACAATAGGAACACAATACAAAATAAAAGTCCTTGAACACACAACACAAGACAGGGAAACACAGGCTAAAATCATGACAATTGACTAAGCTAACTCATTTGATTAGATTGTATAAACATATTAACTCAAATCTTAAAAACAGTTTAAGTTCAGCTTAATATAATGAGTTACTGAGTTCAATAAATGTAACTTTTTTTCTGTTAAGTTCAGTGAACTTTCAGTTATGTTTAAGTGAAATAAATCATTTCATTTAGTTAATTTTACCGTTGGGGTTTACAGTAAATCTGGACAACTATTTAACAGGAATTCAATTCAATTCAAGTTTATTTGTATAGCACTTTTCACGATACAAATCGTTGCAAAGCAGCTTTACAGAAAATTAAGTTTCTACAATATATTTAGTAGTATCTGTCTTATCCGAATTCAATAGGAGAAAATGATTGGTCATTCAAACATTTAAATTTTTAATACACTCTGTTAGCTTAGATAATTTTGAAGTTTCATCTGGTCTTGTTGAGATATATAGTTGAGTATCATCAGCATTACAATGGAAACTAATTCCGTATTTTCAAATAATATTACCAAGGGGTAACATGTATATTGAAAATAGCAGAGGACCTAGGATAGATCCTTGAGGCACTCCATGCTTTACTGGTGATAACTGAGATGACTCCCCATTTAAATAAACAAAGTGGTAGCGATCGGACAGGTAGGATCTAAACCATCTTAAAGCCTGCCCTTGAATACCGGTATAGTTTTGTAATCGATCTATGAGTATGTCATGATCTATAGTGTCGAACACAGCACTAAGATCAAGTAAAACTAGCAATGAGATGCAACCTTGGTCTGACGCAAGAAGCAAGTCATTTGTAATTTTAACAAGTGCAGTTTCTGTGCTATGGTGGGGCCTGAAACCTGGCTGAAATTCTTCATAGAGATCATTTTTTGAAGGAAGGAGCACAATTGAGCAGACACAACTTTTTCTAATATTTTAGACATAAACAGAAGATTTGAAATGGGTCTGTAATTTGTCAGTTCATTAGGATCTAGTTGTGGTTTCTTAATAAGAGGATTAATAACCGCCAGCTTGAATGGTTTTGGGACGTGTTCTAAAGATAACGATGAGTTAATAATATTGAGAAGTGGTTCTTCTGCTAAAGGTAACAACTCTTGCAGTAATTTAGTGGCTACAGGATCTAATAGGCATGTTGTTGGTTTAGATGCAGTGATAAGTTTATTTAGCTCTTCCTGTCCTATATTTGTAAAGCACTGCAGTTTTTCTTTTGGTGCGATGAATGAAGCTGAAGTAATATACGCTGTATCTACATTTGTTATTGTATTTCTGATGTTATCTATTTTATCAGTGAAGAAATTCATAAAGTCATTACTATTAAACTGTGAGGGAATATGTAGATCGGGTGGCGTCTGGTTATTTGTTAATCTAGCCACTGTGCTAAATAAAAACCTTGGATTGTTTTGGTTATTTTCTATGAGTTTGTGGATATGCTCGGCCCTGGCAGCTTTTAGAGCCTGTCTATAGCTGGACATACTGTTTTTCCACGCAATTCTAAAAACTTCCAAGTTAGTTTTTCTCCATTTGCGCTCAAGACTACGAGTTTTTTTCTTGAGAGAATGGGTATTACTGTTGTACCATGGCGCAGTACGTTTTTCTCTAACCTTTTTCAATTTGATGGGGGCAACAGCTTCTAATGTATTAGAGAAGATAGTGCCCATGTTGCTAGTCATTTCGTCTAGTTCATGTGTACTTATTGGTACACAGAGCAGTTGAGATAAATCAGGCAGGTTATTTGTGAATCTGTCTTTGGTGGCTGGAACAATAGTTCTGCCCAGACGATAACGCGGAGCGATATAGTTAATATCAGTAATACGCAGCATGCACGATACAAGGAAATGGTCAGTAACATCATCACTTTGAGGTACGATATCTATATCAGTAAGATCAATTCCATGCGATATAATTAAATCTAGCGTATGATTAAAACGATGAGTGGGCCCGGTGACGTTTTGCTTGACTCCAAAAGAGTTTATTAGGTCAGTAAACGCAAGTCCTAATGCATCATTTGTATTATCAACGTGAATGTTAAAATCTCCGACAATTAGCGCTTTATCAACAGTAACCAATAGGTCTGAGAGAAAATCTGCAAATTCTTTTAGGAAATCTGTATATGGCCCTGGTGGTCTATACACAGTAGCCAGAGCAAGAGATACAATAGATTTCTTTTGCATATCTGACAGTGTAACATTAAGCAGAAGTATTTCGAATGAGTTAAACCTGTATCCTGTCTTCTGAGTAACATTGAGAATATCACTATATATTGTTGCAACACCGCCGCCACGACCAGTCTGACGGGGCTCATGCTTATAACAGTAGCTTGGTGGAGTAGACTCATTTAGACCAATATAATCATTAGGTTTTAGCCAGGTTTCAGTCAAGCAGAGTACATCAAAACGATTATCTGTGATCATTTCATTTACAATAACTGCTTTGGGTGAGAGTGATCTAATGTTTAGGAAAGTTTATTTAGCTCTTCCTGTCCTATATTTGTAAAGCACTGCAGTTTTTCTTTGAGTGTGATGAATGAATTACTTTATATGCAGCTGAAAAGATTTTTATGGAGCCATAGAAGTTCTGTTCCTCAATTTGAAGGTTTTGTGATTCACAGGACAGCTATTACTAAATATACATCTAATAGCTTGCTGCTTAAAGAAATAGTTCACCCAATATTACTATCAAAATGTACTATCAACTTTCACACTGTTAGTGAAGGCAGGTGGACCAGAGGTTGTCCAACGCTATAAAAGCACCATAAAATTAGTTCATTTGATTCATATAAGAAAATTAGTTCATATGATTTTTTACACCTCAAAATGCTTTGCTTTAAATTCTACATCAATAAGGATGCAAGACATACATAAACCTCTTGCGTTATTGACATCAACCCTGGCACAACACGCCACATTTGAATGTGCAAGCAAAAATGTCATACTATTTGGAAAGTGATGAGGGTGAGGAAATACATAGCAGATACTCTTTTTTTAATCAGGGAAAAAAAAGGGGTATCAGGCTTAGATGCAGTACTTTTGCAATCTTTAGATTTGCCAGACCAGGAGGAACACTCTAGTCTGCAGTTCAGATGTGTCCTTTCCAAGATATTAAAAGTGGAGCACATGGGGATGCCAGGTTTAGCAGCTAAATCAAGCAACACACATTTTGCCAAACAATTTTAGAGTCTAAATAGGGCTGTGAATTTTAAACAGTCCAATTGCTTTACATCATGAAACACTTGAGCAAGGGGTGTTGAATTTGATACACCAAGGATGGTACTTCTAAGCGTGGATAAAACTGCACTGTGTGCAATACAGTCTCTTTGCTTTTTGCTGCGTCTACTGGACAAACCTTCATTCATTGCATGCCAGAGGTGGATAGAATTTGCCTACTACAAACAAACTGTACTGAGGCAAGTCAAGCATAAAGTTTTGTTTATAAATCAAACAAGTGTTGTAATTCAAAGGCATGCAAGGAAACCAAAAATTTGGAGCAGTGGAATGCAAAAGTTTGTTGTTCATATCCATCAGGTGCTTGCATGTGCACATCTCATAGGCATGGAATGCTACCAGAAGAAAGTTTCACTGCTGAAGCAATAATCAGTTCAGTGACATATTAAATGTATTGCTCCCTCAGTCATTGAAATGAATGAAGGAATGAATGGATGAATGAATAAAATTAACAGTTGTTGGTCAGTGTACCAGAAACCGTTGCTTTGTGCCTTGCTGTTTTTCAAAACCTCATGCCATGAGTGCTGCATTTAAGACAGATTAAAGGGATAGTTCACCCAAAAATGAAAATTTGATGTATATCTGCTTACCCCAGGGCATTCAAGATGTAGGTGACTTTGTTTCTTCAGTAGAACACAAACGAAGATTTTTAACTCAAACCGCTGCAGTCTATCAGTCATATAATGCAAGTGGATGGAATCACGAGACTGCAACGGTTTGAGTTAAAAATCTCCGTTTGTGTTCTACTGAAGAAACAAAGTCACCTACATCTTGGATGCCCTGGGGGTAAGCAGATAAACATCAAATTTTCATTTTTGGATGAACTGTCCCTTTAATCAAAATTTTTTTTTAGAAAACAATACAGTCCCTGTATTGTTCCATCCTGTCAGTTGTGTTGTGTCAACTGTTTAAATGCTTGAATGCATTCTGTGTGTATGCCTCTAATCCTCTCAAAACAGTGTTAAGCGCTGCCACTGCCACATACAGCTCCACTCTGTCTAGTTAAACTTTAAGGCATCATTCAATATGCCATTGTGACAAATCACAATACTGAAAATAGTTTCTATTTCTGAGTGGCTTAGACACATACCCATATATAGACTATAATCAGGTAAGATGTCATATTGAATTTAACACCGGTGAAAATGGGGCTGTGAGGGACAGACTTACAGTCTTTAAAGTGGCAGGCACTGTAAAAAAAAAAAAGTCCTAGATCATGCAACCTTCAAAGAGTTTTATGGAGTTTTTGTTTACTAAAATCTCCTTTATAAATTTCTATATGCTAGAATCTAGTGAATGTTCATGATGTTGTTAAGCCCAAAGTATAATTCGTTTTTGACGCAAACGGTTAGTGTATGTATGAAGCTGAATGCGAATCATTCTTGTCCATCATCTGCGCTATTTCTCTCCAAAACTTATATGACCAATAAAAATTTTGTTATACTCATAAAAGACTATAAAACAAAGGCCCGGCCAGTATTGCTATCTTGTGGACAAACTAGTTAGTGCAAATAATGTTAAGGCACATTTGAAATTCGGATGTGTGAGCTCAGAAAACCCAATATCAGAAGTTTAAACTAATATGGTTTAAAATGCATGATTTCAGCGCGAAAGATATGATAATCAAAACCAAACAGATGTTTTTTAGCAGAATATCTGAGGTACGAGCTGTAAAGGCACAGTCCTATTCTGTAAAAGGGGGCGGGGAGCAGCAGTTTATTTGCATTTAAAGAGACATGCACAAAAATAGCGTGTTTCTGCTTCCACTCATAATAGGCATTTTCAAAATGATATAATAAATGATCTGTGGGGTATTTTGAGCTGACACTTCACAGACACATTCTGAGGACACCAGAGATTTATATTTCATATTGTAAAAGGGGCATAATAGGACTCCTTTAAATGATTCTGTTAAAGAGAATATCTCCTTTTAGAGTGGACTTTGAGCTTTGTAACCATGCAGATGTTTTTTAATGCTCAAACAGCAACATTACACACTAACTAAAGCTGAAAAAGTGAAAAAGCACAATAGGACCCCTTTAATTAAATCACAGCCTTTGCATTTTGGTAATCATACTAAACCATGTTGTGATTTTATTTCAATTTTACTGTGGTGATGACGATATTTACATCACACGCACCGTGTGTATACCCTAGCGTATATGTAAAAAACAACGTATACTTTGGATTTACAGTAATACATAATTTACAATAAATATATAATTCTACTTCTTGCTCAGAACTATGGTGTGGAGACAGATAACTTGAAGAACCTGGTGCTAAAGATGAGAGCTGTGACCAACAGCCTTCACACCGCAACATCAGAACGAAGGAAGAGCCCTACGTATGAAAGCAACACGTCTAGCAAGCTCCCAAATGAATTCCTCTCCTCTGTGGTTGAACTTATTGGAGCAGCCAAAAGCCTCCTGGCATGGCTGGACAGGTACAAACATAATTTCTTTACATATTTCTATATTGCGTATTTCTGTTTCTGTTGCTTCTTTATTTATGAGGACGTATAGCATGTAAAGGGCTATGGTGTGTTGCACACGGATGATTTATAAGGGGTTTTTACTCTTAAAGCTGATGTTAACCCACTGTAAGGTCATATATTTCACTGTAAAGTACAAACTTAGACTTGCATGAGCAGCACTTAGATTTTTCCAGACAGGGCAGACAGTTGAAACCAGATACAATCCGCCTTTCTTTCCTAACCCTCTGTGCACAGCTAACCACATCTTTTTCATGAAGGAGAGATTTTTGTGAGCACAAAAGCTATGTTTCAGTTTGGTGTAGGATTTACTTTGAATCAATTTACACAATTTACACAATTTGAAACTGCTAGAAAATTCACATACAGTATAATTACAAGGAAATGGCAAGTAACATTTAAATAAATAGAAATGTTGAAGACTGAAATAGTCTTTTCTTGTAAATCATACTCCAATAGTCTTTGTTTAATTCACCAAAATGTGAAATAAAAAATAAGAAATTGAAAATAATTGTTTAATTATGACAAATCAGCAAGGCAGCTACTCCACAAACCACACAAATGATCCTCACACAATTCCAATAGGGTTGACCAGAGACTGTATAACAGGCGGTCCACTTGTAAATATATATATAAATGGGAGAAATCAAAATTGCAGCTGTTGTCCAAGACTCTTGCGTTTTTCATAGAGGCATATCAACATATCCGTAGCAGTAATTCAGTCCATTGAGATTTCGGTGTGTGTGGAGCTCCCTGGTGCAATAACAAGCGACCAACAAAATGTAGTATCGCTTGATTCTCTTTAGATTATGTTTTTCCCCTTTCAAATAAATAGATATATTCTTAAGTTACATGGTGCGATTGTTCTGATCTGTCTGGGAAAGAAAGAAATGGAAACTGACTGTGCTTAATGGTTTCATAGGGAGCTGACATGGTTAACGTGTTTAATTCCAGCTGCAGTTTTTATGACCACAGACTCAGAAACTCCAGACACACTGTGATGGAAATAAAGTTCTTTGCTATTGTAAGGCCACATCAGAAAACCCTTCACAAGGAGTTTGTTGTCCTGTCCTAATGTGATCTTGTCCTGTATTAATGTGATCTTTATACAGTGTGAATGTTGTAAGGTCTTTTAACCTTAATTTCCTCTGTCTGCAGAACTCCATTGACGGGGATCAGTGATTTCACCTCCACCAAGAACAAAATCATTCAGTTGTGTCTGGAACTGACCACTACAGTGCAACAGGTCAGTACAATGACCGTGCCTTTAAATAGTATAGACACGCTGAACATGCTAACGTTCGCCTTCCATGTTCATTGTAAAGCTCTCATGCGTTTCCCAGTGGAGCTGGAAACTGCAGCTAGTTATCTAACCATATGTTGTTTTGTAGTGTTTGCTTTGGGGGGTTTACTTCAGACAGTAATAAGCAGACCCCCAACACATAAGTCACAGGTTCTGAGTTTACAGTTTCATTAAACAAGCCAGGGTGCTCTTTTAAAGTTGGCCTCCAGCATTCCTTCATGTTATCTTCCTTGCTTGGAGTATATACTCTCTCCTGTTAAATTCTTGGCTAGTTTTCAAAGGTGTTTGGATGGTTAAAAAGTATATTTTAATTTAGTTAATATGAAAAGTTTTTGGCATTGAAGGATTATCATTGGTCAGAGGCAGTGTTCAGTTCAGTCACATTGTAGACATTCCAAATTTCTTCCAAGAACTTGTTTTTGTGTTTTCAGACAGTGGTCTAAGATTTTCTATGAGAATTTGAGAGAACTTTAACATTTTGACAGCTCAGCATAGATTCTTGTTTGAGTAATGGAATATTCCGTAGACTTGTGACTTCATGGCTGGGGTTTCATAGGTCTTGGCTGTCTATGGTAGTTGGGATACTTATTAAACTCTCAATTCTTGGTGTGAACGGGCCTTTATGCTAATATAAGTGTTTAGATAACCATTCAATTAAATGAAAAATAAATATATTTAAATGAAAAATAAATATATAATACTTGTACTAAAACTATTACAAATATTATATATTATATATTTATTATATATATGTTATGTGTTTATTTATTTATTTCACTTGTGCGAATGGTTAAAATAATGGTCAACCAAGAGTCTCTATAGAGAGTAAACTGGAACCAGAGCCAATAGGGATCTCGCCAAAGATCAAACTGGTCAGAAGTGGTCTGGGTGTATGGAACGGAGGGGTCAAGAGATTGTCTGGTCAAGTTTCCAGCTCAGTCAGGAGTTTAATGATGTGGGGTAAAATCATTAGATTGCGTAGCCTCTTACTGGAGAACGGGAATGCAGCATGACAAATGCGGAGGGGTGACAGAAAAAAAAAACTGCTTCTGACATTTCCCTCTCATTCCCAGTCACGTGAAGCTCCAAAATAGGATTATAAATGTATGAACCATTGTATTGGACTGAATTTAGGTCACTTTGAGTATAAAATAAAATAATGATGAACATACAAACTACAACAAATATGGTGATACAAACCTCAGACCAGATGTTTGGTCACATGACATGAAATCCAATGAGGTTTACACTCTAGTTGATGTGTGTCACCATATTTGATGTAGTCTGTGTACTAAGTGTTGATTATCACTGGATAAACTGTTCCTTCAAAGCTGACATAGCAAATGTCCAGCAACCTTCGAACATTTAAAACAATAAGCTTCTTTAGATCAGGACTGGTTCCTATTCAGTGTACTTTTAATTTCAGCTCAGTATATGAAATCTTCTGAACATTCCTTTAAAATATATGACATCAAAATGCCTTTATTGAAACCTTCTTTCCTTTATACCCTTAATGCACCAGATGCTGGGTTTCCTTGTCCTCCTCTTCCTCACTTTGGTGCACTCCCACAATGTGCTGTGTAATTATCTTGTCTTGGACTGGACATTTATTTGAGGCTGGAGGTCATTCACTGTTGTTGTGTCAAGCTCTGTAATTATACAACATCCCTAAATCTGAACTTTTTGTTATTATTCACAGAGGTTTCAATGTTCTGCACTTTTTCTTTCTTTCTTGCACAGGACTGCACTATCTATGACATGGAAGAGAAGATTTTGGATGTTGTAAGTATTTTGCATTTCCAGTATTACTTTTTTAATACTCATTTTATACTAATTTTTCATACTCACATTATTTATTTATTTCACTTAATTTTGTAAATGAGGATTGTGTGTGTGTGTGTGTGTGTGTGTGTATGTATGTATATGTACTTTTTATGTATATATTTTTCTCTTTGTATTTTTATATCAAAATGCATTTTATCATACTCAAATCTATGTAGTAAACAATTTAGGCCAAAAACAATCTCAAAGTAATTATAAAGTATTCAGAATACATTACATATAATGTGTAATCATTACTGACTAGAATTTTCAGTGATAGAATATCATTAATCTGCCCAGCACTGGAAATAAAAACTCTTTCGCGCAGTGCAGATATGTGAGCATATGCAGTCAAACATGCAAAGTATTGGGCATTAGGCAGGGTGAAGGAAGTTTGGAAATGACATGCAAGTACATGCTAAGTGTAGGCATAATGGGCTGACAAAATCACAAACACAAAGCGGGAATGGGTTGGGTTCTATTATTTATCTTCTTCACTGTCAAGCAACCATGACAGAAATAAAGCCAGCCTATTCGTAAGAAGTTTATAGTATAAACGGGCTGTCTGCAATACAAGACCAATGTAGATGATTTGTATATTACGTTATGTTGCACACTATATAGAGAGGAAAATGTGCTACTCATTAGGACCACCTGGCTGAACTTCATTCAGCTTTTCAGATTACAACCTAGGTTTAATGTTGACACAATTCTAGCAGTGACACATTCATAAGTCAAAATAAATCATGGGCACTTGCTGCTCTCTCCAGTGTTTCATCCAGAATGTTGCTGCTCATTTTGTTTACACTCCTGTACTTGTGCATTGAGTGGAAAGTTAAATCAAAGCTCAGATGGCATTCAGTTTGTTTATGCAAGCCCCATGGTTTGTTGGACTTCATTTATGGGCTTGGCTTCTGTGGATTATTGTGGATTTTTTAAGTAGAACTAATGGATCTGTTTTTCCAGGCCTAAATTAAAGATTGCATTAGATCAGATTTAAAAAAGTGCTTACATTATTAGTATAATCAATGTGTTAGTCCACTAGACTCTGGAACACCTCCTATGATCATGTGTTTTTATTTACATTTATCCATAGTATTGCTTTTCAGTTGGTGGGATGCTTGCATGAGCAGAAATATACTCCACCAGTCTACTGTTGGTAATGACGAGCTGTAACTGGGTGGTTTGGAAGCGTAAAGTGGAAAAGGGTGGGTTTTGGAGAAGGAAGGGAGTTCCCATAGTTTTAAAAAACTGTTCGTAACTGAAAAATTAGATAATAGCTATTATCTCAACTCCTTCCCCTTGGGACTTGGTTGCTGTATTCTTCTCCGTTCACCTGATACTATGCCATGGGGCAAATGTGGAAATAAACCCTCAGATATGTATGGATTTGTATCGCATAGCCAAGTTTGACCAATTATTAGTCCATATTTTACTAATTATAAGTAGACTGTTAGGGTTATTAGAAAAAGCTGGCAAACTTGCAAAGTTACTTGTAGTCAGTGGAATGTCTGTTGGGGGAACCAATAGACAGTCTATTAATACTCTAATGACTGCTAGTTGACATGTCTAAAGTAGACTATCCAAATAAAGTTAGCCATTTTGGAGATGTTGTTCATCCATCCAACACTATTTTTCTAAACACTCTGTTCTTCTAAATTGCAGTCAAAGGTATTGAACAGTATTTGTGACCAGACTGTGAGAACCACCTCTGATCATCTCATGAGCCAGTCAGCATGTCTGGAGGAAGTTCAACTGACCAACATCAAACCAGGAGAGGGATTGGTGAGAATTCTTATTTATGTTCATATTGGATATCTTCACTGGAGAAAAAAAAAAAAATCTCATAACACTTATGCCATTAATTAAACCCCATATTATATTCTTCCATGGAACACAAAAGGGTTTGGGCATTTTTGTCAATTTCATGTTTTAAATGCTTGATAGATCAATAAAATTAGTATTCCCATGCAAGTTCCAGTCTGCATTGATTGTAATTGCATGAACAAAAAAAAATTCAAAATGTTTCCTTTAAACATGTTTGTGTTTAATGGAATGAAGAAAGTTATAAGGGTGTGGAATGACTTGAGGATGAGTAAATTATGACAAAATTTAAATTGGGAGGGGGGAAATAACTTCTGTAAGGTGATTAAACAGTTTTTTGGAACTTGATAGCAGATTTTTTATTTTATTTTTTTTGCTGGTCCAAAATGGTCTACCAGTATTAACCAAAATGGTGTTCCTGGTTGACCTCAGCCCCAGTGATTACAAGACCTGCTACATTAAACCAGATACTGTCAGAAGACGAAATCAGCACACAGAATATGAATCAGACATATATTTCCTTTGCATGGCTGTAGGTTCCTCTTTACCAACTGTACAGGGTTTGCTCTCTTTTTTTCTGTTGTTTTCATGATTTTTCTCTCTGTCTTCCTGTTACTCAGGGCATGTACATAAAATCCACCTACGATGGGCTTCATGTCATCACTGGCACCACTGAACATGTGAGTAAGGGCTCCAATGACGAAAGCCTTTGATTCATCACATTTCGCTTTTTGATGCCAATGGCTGAGTTAAATTTAACCTCTGTGTGCACGCCATGTTCAGTCTAAATAAACAAAATAATGGAAAGTAGATGGGACTTCTCTCGGTTTACAGACTGAACAGTTTTTGTAAGGGCTAAAGATGTCAGGTTTGCTCATTCTTTGTATTTAGAATGCATTCCTAAGTAATGCATGGAGCTTTACAAAATGTACCTGTAACCTTTGAACAGGTTAATTAATTTGCTTTAGTCAGTTTTTAACAACAGCTGTTCCAGACAATGATGTCAAAATCACATAACACTTCTCTGGAACTACATTCCCACGAGTCAAGAGATGATTCATACGCCCCAAACCAGTTAGGGATTAATTACAGTTTGTTCATCACGCTTGCTTGTAATTTTATTGTTTATTTTTCAGTAATAAAACAAAACCATCACGAGCTTGTATTTACGCAATATCACATGCACTGCTGTTGTACTGAATTTTAGGCTGGGTTTCAGCCATCAGCACAAGTCTGCAGTTAATGATAGCCATTCTCATATTCGGTCCAACAGTACAACTTTATGTGACAGCTCATTGAATAAGAATTTAATATCAAGTAACTTATGCTTTTCCACCAATGAAAATCCAAATGATGCTTCCAAGCTAATCTCAAGATACACCAAAGGCATGACAATGAGGTACAGTATATGGATAAAGAGAGGTCTTTGTGCTTTTTTGCTGGCAGGGTAGAAATGTCATGGCAATATTGAAATAATGATGCAGGGACATGAAACTTGCAGTTAAGTGAGTTCTGTTGATTCAGTAGCCTGATCTCTGTCAGTTCATGTAGTGAAAGATTCATCAGAAAGATGTGTCAGACTGATTCGCACTGGTAACTCCTCAATTCATGAGTCTTTTTGAGCAATTCATTAACGCTGCGGCTTTGGTAATCACACTTGTGATTAGTGGTCGACCGATATATCTCCAAGGCCGATATATCGGCCGATATTTGGCATTTTTCAAATATCGGCATCGGCGGATACGTTTTTCTGTTTGGCCGATGCGTTCGAGGCCGGACTTTTATTTTGACGGCGCTGAGTGTGGCAGCGCCTGAGCACACAGTACTCACATTCTCCTTGTTCGCTGTCATCGTTCAGTTCTGTCTAATACGGATAGAAGTCTGTCTAATAATCTGATAGAACTGTTAAACAAAGGAATTAAAATGTATACAAAAAGTATTATAACGATTGCTTTTATATTATTAGTAATAGAAAGGCAAACATTATAATACTTTCTCGTTTGCCGTCAGCATTCAGCAAATAC